CGGAAATCCTCACGTGACATATCAATTTTCACACTATGTCCTAAAAGTATAATGTCCTACGCTTCGCTCCGGACAATCACTATCACTAAGTTCATTATATTTAAAATTGGCTAAATAATAAATTATAAAAAAGTTTTAAAAGGTTTTTATTAATGACAATTTGGATTTTGGCATAATAAAAAAAAAATCCAGTTGTACATTGAGATTAAATGATATAATAATCAGGGGGTCGAATAATTATATCGTAACCTTCACTGGTAATCGCCGATAACTCCACAGTTACTATAGCAATGCATAGATTGGTGGATTTTGCCACTTCGTGGCAAAATATCCAATCAATGCCTTTCTTACCGTGAACTGTGTAGCGCAGCTCATATATAAATGTGGCTAGTGCTATATATGTGATGGTTAACTGCACGGAATTGCTGCGGTTGCGTTTTTTTTATATTTATCTCAGCGACTTTGTTTTTTCAAGTACTCCAAATCTTATTTGTCACGCCTTATTTGTCACATTTCAGACGTGCCTATCAATAATCGTATTTGCTTTCAACCGATTCTTTCAATTTTAGCGATAACTAAAAATAATAAAATTTTCATTTTCCCCGTAAACTCTTATTAACAAATAAATGGTAAGTTTCAACGCCCGTAGAAATTGGCTTGTGATTAGCAAATTATCAAGTTACTAAAGTTATTTATTTCAGAATTCGTTAAAGTCCTCTCAAAAAGAAAAGGTCAGACAGTTCATGGCTTTCACAAGTGCTAGGTATTTATATTTTATAAATTTTATAGTTTTGTCCGGTTCTTGATCGATATTAAGGAAATATACTTAGTAACTTCATTATTTCTCAGTGAAAGGGTTTCCATCCGAAAACTTAAAGATTGTAACTGGAATGTCGAGGTAGCGGTAGACGCTTTTTATAATGACCAATCTAGTGGTAACTCTTGGAGAGGTTTAACAAGTAGTTCAACGGGAGTTGACGCGTATAAGCTCAACCAGATCTTTTCTAAATATAAAGGTGTGTGGTTGAAACCTTTTACGCGTATCGTCGTTGTCTAAATAAGAATATACATTTCACACTAAAAAGGATCCGGATTAATCTATTAGAAATAAATTTAATTCTTCGTAAGCGTATCCCAAAAGATATGCTTCCTCTTTGAAATGGATCGCATTTTGGTTCCAAAGACTAAGTGTTTGTTTTATTGATCAACTTATTTTTCTTTATATCAATAGATAAAGATGAAGATGCTATTTTAGTTGATGGTATGTTAGAGTATTGTAACGATCTTGGCGTTGCTCCTGAAGATGTTGTAATGTTGGTGTTAGCTTGGAATCTTGAGGCAGACAAAATTGAATTCAAACGTCAGGGTTTTATCAACGGGTGGACTAAACTAAGGTGAATATTGAGTAATTAAGAAATTTAATTATTTAATTGATTTATCTTTATTGATTTATATTCTTTAGATGTGATTCTATTGAAAAAATGCGTGGTGCTATACCTCATCTTCGACAGTCATTGAAAGAGGAAAGTACATTCAAAGAGATTTATCAATTTACGTTTAAGTTTGGATTAAGTGAAAATCAAAAATCTCTAAGTAGGGTACTACTTTACAATAATATTTCATTTTTTTTAGTATATGGAATATTGTTTAAATTTTTTTAATTATATCTTTAAGGTCTTGATGTGGCGATAGAATATTGGCGGTTATTGTTGAGTGATCGTTGGCCTCATCTTGACATATGGATAGAATTCGTTAAGGTAAAAGCACTCAATCAATTTTAGTTCGATTAATTTATCTTGCTATAGATTAATTATTATATACTGTATATATATTCCTATCAATAGGAAAAGCATGGCAAATCGATTTCTAAGGATACTTGGAACTTGGTACTACTTTTAATAATTATAAATTAGTTATATTTTTGAATTATTATTAAATTTGTTATCTTTACTTTTTAGTTACTTGATTTTATCAAACAAATCAATCCCGAGCTTTCAAATTATGATTCCGAAGGTCAATTGAATAACCCCTTAAAAGTTTATTGATTGTATTATATGGTTTTCTTACAACATATATATTTTTTTAGGTGCTTGGCCGGTTCTCATCGATGAATTTGTGGATTATTGTAGAGAAAAATTGGGATTGCCTGCCCCTTAGAAGTATCCTCTGTTAAAGCATATTCATGATAAAATAACAAGTGTGTTTATTTTCATTATTATTGTAAACAATTCGTTGATTGGATTGTAAAAATGGTGTAGTTCATATTTGTGTCATATATCTTAAGACATTTTTCTTTTTCTTTTTTGTTATTTTTGATACTTTCTTTTTTTTGTGTTAAAGTTTTCATTTCACTCTAAGTTAAATAATTATTAGTACTTATTTAGACGTTTATTGAGGTGATAACCATAAAATTGTTGGTTTAATACATTTGCTGCTGTATCCATGCTAGCATTGCGCATTTGAATTTCATCCATAAAAAAATTTTAATAATCATGTTACTGCGGTTTTCCCCTGTATATTGTCCACGTGAACTTTAATGAATATTTTGTTGAAAATCAAAAAACCAATCAAAACAATTTCCGCAAATACTTTTTCATTCCCTTTTTTTTCTTTTTGAAACAATTTCAGATATTCGTTGGGTTTTTTTTTTATTTCTTGTCCCGCTTATATAAATTTGCTTACGACTCAGAGATCATCCTTTAACGTTCGTCTTAATTTATTGACAAAAAAAATTTTTTGCATTTATAAGAACGTTAAGAACGACGTATAATATATCAAATATGGTCACCACAGATGAAGGATGTAGAAGTCTCTATGTGGGCAACCTTGATCCAAGAGTAACAGACAGCATGCTTCATGAGATCTTTGGGGTGGCGGGATCTGTAAACAATACGAAAATTATTCCTGATAAAAATGTGAGTTGACCTATCATCACGACAGGCCAGTACGAGTAAAAGGGTAGAGGGGGTTTAGACTGAAGCTTAATCTTGATCACCTTCAGTGGTGTGCAAAAAAATGCTTTATTTCTTTGAAGCGAGGGAACTTTTTGAAGCAAGCTCTAGTTGGAGTATCCCTGATGGCTGACCTAAAGCTGGACACTCGAGTTGCGCTCCATACTTAATTGACGCAGCTCAAAGGTTGGAATTCCTTTATCTTCCCTCAATATCCGCATCTCTTTCCCTAATGTTTCTTTTTATTATTATTATTTTTATTTTTATTTCTATTATTATTATTATTATTATTTTTTATTTTAATTTAGTAATTTTTTTTTTCAATTTTCTCTGTCGATTAATTTTTTTTTTTTTTGAATCGTTTTCCACTTTATTTTAATTCTTTTATATATATTCTATCATTCTTTTTTAGTAAATATCTGTCTAACTTTTTTTGATAAAAGTTATATGTATATACTTTTGCAGCTTTAGTTTTTGTGTGGGGCGACTGAGTGTAAATACAAGACAAAGTACCGATTTGGCTCGTATGCTGATCTCTTAAAACTTTAGAAATACGGACACCTTGCTTATTTTTATAATCTTACATAATCATGATCACTAACAACAATCTTAATTTTTTTCTTTTTTTTATAATACTTTTATATGTGATGTTCTTCCCAATTATCGACAGTACCAACATGGAGGATTAAATTACGGTTTTGTTGAATTTAATGACCATCGTTCTGCTGAACAAGCTCTTCAGACCCTTAATGGTAGAAAAATATACAATATGGTATTTGAACATTATTTACAAATAATTATTTGAAATGTATATATATTATCGGTTATTTATGGTTCAAATATTATTAGGAAATTAAAGTGAATTGGGCTTTTCAAGGACAACAAGGTCATAAAGAAGACACATCAAGTAAGTATCATCACTATTTATTTCTTATTATGTGCTCATCGTGTTATGTTGCTGAACCCGTTTTGTTTTTCCCTTTTATTCTCTTTATTTTCTTTTTTTTTTCTTTTTTCTTCTGCTTTATTATTCTATAATAAACTAAGATCATTACCACATCTTTGTTGGTGATTTGAGTCCTGAAGTTAACGACGAAGTACTTGCCAAAGCCTTTAGTGCATTTGGAAGCATGTCGTAAGTAATTTGGCGAAATTAAAAATTTATTTTGACGTGATATTTAAATTTTTTGAAATGTATTTATTAGAGATGCTCGTGTTATGTGGGATGTAAACTCGGGAAAGTCTCGGGGATATGGCTTTGTAGCTTTCCGTGATAAAACCGTAAGTCTTGAAGATGACTACCGTTAATGGATTTGATGATTGTAGTGGTTAAGATACTTTTTTGACAAAAAATGATTACGACTTTGAATGGATATCTTTTTTTTTTTTTTAAATTAAATTAAGATATTGATGATTTCTGTAATTTTTTAGGACGCTGAACAAGCTATTGCAACAATGAATGGTGAGTTTGGAACCTATTATAAATTATTGCAGCAACGGTTTAATTTACATTAGAAGGTAATGTATTAATTTTTTATTATAATATAGGTGAATGGCTTGGAAGTCGTGCTATCCGATGCAATTGGGCCAACCAAAAAGGTCAACCGGGTCCAGGGAGCACAACATCAGAACGACAAGGTAACACATTGTTTAATTTTTTGTTATTAATTTTTTTGTCAATCGTTGATATTGGGGATTTGTCCAAACTATTAGGAACGCCCACGTCAGCACCTCAATTATCGTATGAAATCGTCGTTGCACAAACTCCACATTATAATAGTACGGTATACGTCGGCAACTTGCCACCTTATACTACTCGTAAGTTTTATTAACTCAATTTTTTGTGGGTTAATTTGGATTAATACTTACAATTTTACTTTAGAGGAACATTTGATGCCATATTTCCAAAACTTTGGATATATTATTGAAGTTCGCATGCAAGCAGATCGTGGTTTTGCATTCGTAAAGTAAGTTATGAATTTTTTATGGAACTGTATTTTCGTCGTATTCTTGAACTAATTTTCTTTATTAATCGTATTAAGACTAGATACACATGAAAATGCGGCCAATGCAATTGTAAATCTTCAAAATGCAAGTGTTAATGGTAGAGTCATTAAGGTAACAACTTTTATGAAAAAGGGAGTTTATAATAATATTATTCATTATTTGAGAGCTCAATTACATACCTAATCTAATTCTTGTTTTATGACTAGTGTTCTTGGGGGAAAGATAGAGCTCCGGAACAGTCGACTGCAGCTACCTATCATGCGTATAGTGTTCCAGGTACGACCTATAACTATCCATATGGATATTATGGCAATCATACTGCTCATCATTATGCAACTCCAGGTACAGAAGCTGGTTATGATCTTCCACCTGGTATGTCCGCTCCACCACAATCTTTGGCATCTCTTGACGGAGCAACTGCTGCCGCAGTAGTCGCAGGTCAACAACATGCCACGGCTAGTTGGGAACAATATTATAATAATGGTGGTTACGCTGAAGCATATGGACAATATTATCCGTATGGGTATGGTACTCAAGCCGCCGGTACAGGAGCCCCTGGTGCCCCCGGAATGGCGGCTCCAAATTCTCCACATGCGGTTCCTGGTGGTCATCCACCTTCGGTAGGCGGTCACGGGCCATCAAGTGGAAGTGCTTATAATGGATAACTCTGGATTAAGGGGGTGTACTTATTGAGAGAGAAGATAAAATAGAATCGAAGGAAGGAATTAATTACGGTCTTTGATGAATAAGCTTCTCTCTCTATTTGTTAATTTTTTTCTCTCTTTTTTTTTTTCACTTCAAAATATATATATATATATTTCTCATATTACAATGGAAAAGTTTTTTTCGATAATGTTATAATTCTCATTTAAGTGTATTTTCTTTGTATTGTGGCTGGTTTTTTTTTTTTTCTTTTTAGTAATAATTTGGTTTTTTTTTAAAAAAATGCGTTGGTAAAGTTTTCTTTTTAATTCATATAAATCATTAGTTATACCAAGTTATTAATTTTATTGACCTTACTTTCGATTTTACTATTATTCTTATTCTTATATATATAGCAAAAAAAAAAAAAAAAAAAAAAAAAAAATAATGAACAATCAATATCATGCAAACATAACACAGATAATACTTTACTTTTTTTTTTCGTATTCCTATCTATATGATCTTATAATTAACAAAAAAAATTTTTTTTTTTATTTCTTATCGGTAACATTGGTTTTTTACAGTTTTAAAACATTTTATTTTCTTTTTTTTTTCATTTTGAAAATTTTAGTTTTATGATATAGAAATAAAAAAAAAATCTTAAACCCTAGGTCAATTTAGTATTTATAATAGATCATTTCTAAAGTTGAATTTAAGCTAACTTTGATTTACGAGGGCACATCAAGTAACTAAATAACGCATGATATCAGATAATGAAACGATTCCTTGTAACTTATTTTCAGAATCTACAACTATTAAACGATGTACTGGTGCATTTTTTATTAAATCAAATATTGAATGAAGTGTATCACTTAGTGTACAAGTATGAACTCCAGGAAAATCCTGCAATGATAAATGGAATAAATAGTTAATGAAAAGGAAAAGGATTAACGATATTCATTCAAGAAATTTATGAGTTATTACCTCAGGACGGCGTAATAATGCTTCGCCAACTAGAATATCCATTACATGGTATGTTCCAGCTCGAACCAAAGTCTAATAATAATATTGATTTATTAAAATTGCGATAAAGCGAAAAAAAGCTCAAACGTATAATGTTTCATTGTTACAAACCATTACATCAACCGTTTCATATACATTCAACACCTTGCCTAAATAAATAAATATATATATAATTTTTATATTAAAGTTAATTAAATCAAAAGATAATTCAAAAAAAAATTCATTGTTTACTCTATGATTACCATTTTCATCGATTATGGGGACTGAAGATATTCGACGTTCCACAAAAAGATTTACAACTTCAATAACGGGTGTGGACATTTGAGCAGTAGCAAGATTTTCATAAACGCCAATTTTAATTTCTGATAAAGGTTTTTTTAATGCTTTAGTCTCCTTACACTATACATATGTATAGAATTAGTTTCAAGTAAAGAAAAAAAAACGCGCCTTATTGATGATGTTAGAAATATAAAAACTTACATTCATTGCGATAAATTTCAGAATTCTATATTGGGTTAACACGGATACAATCATTTCTTGTCCAGTTTCGGAATCCGTATCAACCAATGGTAATCGATGTGCACGTGCTTCTACCAATAATTTACATGCTTCGAACAATGATTTTAGAGGGTGTATCGATAATAATTGTGGAGGTGGTGCACCAACACGACTTTCGACGTCTAGAATGAACGTACTTTTTTATTAGCGTTTGATTTTTTTTTTTAAAAAAAAATAAAAGAAAAAATTAAAATATATCATGAAATACCTCTTAATTGTTGAATTTGAAATTGTTCAATTTCTTCCATAGCAACGGCATAAGAAGTATGTTTATAGTAATATTGTATTAAATTTATAAAATCCGATACGGTCAACATTCCAGCAAAATTTTGATTTGTTGAATCCCAAAGTGGTGCTGATACGATTCCTAAGTATTAAAAATTTCATTTTTTTTTTTTTTTTTTTTACGGCATCATTGAAATAACTGTTATATCATTATTAAATCACAAAATATTATATTTATTTGAGCAAGTTCATTTTCTTTTAGTAATTATCAATTACAGAGAACACCAAATTTTTGAATAATTTTTTTTTTTTTTTATTTTTTTTTCCTTTTAAAAAAAGAAAAATAAAAATAAAAATAAAAAATAGAAAGGAATGATGCTAAAAAAAAGGAAATATAATTATGAAAATAAATACCATTTTGCATTAAGGCAGCAAGTGCTTTTTTAACGAGTAAACTGGTGTCCAAGACAATTATTCTATAACTAACAGGTAATACATCATAAGAAGAGTGTTGTTTTAAAAAATTACAGACGAGCCTCCTTGGGGAATTATTCGATTCACTATCCGAGTCTAATCTAACTGGTTGTTTATCGATTGGAAAAATGCCACCTTGAGAGATAAATTGTGTGAAATTTATTCCTGCATATGATGATGGTCCATAGCTACCTCCTTCATTATTTGGTGTGAGATTTGGTGTATTAATATTTAAATTTAAATTTCTTTCATTCATGGATAAAGTAAAGAGAGAAAATTTATAAAAAAAAAAGAGGAAATTAATTTTCAGAAAAACGTTCGCTTAAAAAATGGAATTATAAACAAAAAAAACTAGTTCACGTTCACATGTTTGTGCAGAATATGCAAAGTAACGTCACGCTGCTGATAAAGATTTAAAAAAAAAAAAAATTAAAAAAAAAAATTTTATTTTATTTTATTTTTGAATATACGAAGCCAAGAAATAAAAAGAACAATTATGTCAAAAAAATTGAGTATTACAGAAACCAGTATTATTCCTATTGCTCACGCTGAAGCTCCAGCTAATGAACCCGAGAACGAAGAAGCACTTGCAGAACCTGAAGATCTAAAGCCACAGATCGAAGAAGGTTAGACCAAGTTTAAAAAAGGTTTGAGGAAAATACATACAAATTTATATATATAATATTATTAATATAAAATTGTTTTCAATTAGAATGCGGTGAAACCACAGCTTGTAAACCTTTAAAACATCACCTTGAAGAATGCGCTCGTCGTGTTGAAGCAGGTGGAACCGATGAAACTTGTAAGTATTTCTTTTCATTTTTGTTCTTAAGGAAAAAATTTATTTATTAATAACGCACATTATTATGTTAAAGGTGCTGAAGAATTATTACACTTTATGCATTGTGTAGACCATTGTGTAAGTTCAAATTCTTTTCTCAGAAAGTACATTATTTTATCATTTTCATTTTTTTTTTTTTTTTATTAGGCTGCACCTAAAATTTTTGCAAAATTAAAATAATTTAAAAAATCATGGGCCTTTAAAAAGCTTTACTTATTTTGTTGAATACAAAAAAGTTTCAAATAAAAATATATAATTTATTTCATATTAACTTTGGAAGCAAAAATATTTTGAAGTTCGTTCAATGATGGATCTTCTAGTATTAGTATAAAAAATACTTTGAGTCGTTCATTAAGATTACGATTTTAAAAAAATCAAAACTTTTTTGTTATTGTATAGGAAAGCGCTCGAATTATCGCGTCATTTCGTGGGATTTTTGTTTGGAGACGTAATTGGCCAACACTATCATTAATAAAATTTTATTATGTAATCTCAAATTGCACAAATTAATTTATAAAAAATTTATGTTGTTGCTCTATAAAAAAAAAAAATAAAAAAACACATCGGACCTCTTTCTTCATTGCTCCCATTCATATAGTAGAAAATTTTTCTTACCATATATTAGTAAAACTGAGATGCCTCAATCCCGCTCCCCAAAAAAAGAAGTAAAGGATAAGGATGTACCGAAACCTAACTTTGCGTTATCTGGAAAGCTTGTAGCAGAAACTAATTCTTATAATGGAGTTGTATTGAAATATTTTGAGCCACCAGAAGCTCGCAAACCAACAAAAAGATGGAGGTTATACGTATTTAAGGGAGATAAAGAAATAGGTAAGTTTCGTTTCAATGAAAATTTGATGATTATGCAACACATTAAATTTCTTATATTTCAGATATTCTTCACATACATCGACAGAGTGCATATTTATTTGGCCGAGAGAGAAAAGTAAATAACAAATGATCTTTTTATTTCGTTAATTCTGTAATTCTATAAACAAATTTTTTTCAAAATGTTTTTTTTTTCTTTTAGGTAGCTGATATCCCAATTGATCATCCTAGTTGTTCCTCTCAGCATGCTGTGTTGCAATTTCGTCAAATAACCACAACAGATGATGAATCTGGGGAGAAGCTTTCTGAGATCAAACCATATATTATAGATCTTGATTCAACAAATAAAACTTTTGTTAATAACAATCCAATTCCACCTTCAAGATATTATGAGTTAAAAGCATCTGATACTATAAAATTCGGTTTCAGTTCTCGCGATTATGTTTTGATTCATGATGAATTAGATGATGGAAACCCTTGAATTATGAATTGTAATATATAATATTGTTTCTTTTAAAGCAGTTTATATAACTTCTTTGATGTTTTTGGTATTGCGTCGAAAAAAAAAAAAAAGGTTCTATATAGAGGATTTAATTATTTAATTTATTTGATTTCCAAATCATTGAATGAACATTAAACATTATAAATGATAACAAAAAAAAAAATTTGCGAATTGATTATGTTATTATATAGTACCTCTATAAAGACTATACCTACTTGACGCAAAAAATAAAAAAAAATGATGATAAAGAAAATGACCTTTTGAAATTTTTTTTGTTTTGTTGTTTTTTTGTTTTGTTTTTTTTTTTTTGAAAATGCTAATTGGTTGAAGTTATCACTTCCTGAAAAGTCTTACTTCCATGATTAACTGAATCACCTTGCTTTAGATCCCTGAGCCACTTGCGTCACCACCATCTTCGAGTTTCTTTTCATCAATTATTTCGTTTTCAAATTTATCATCTTCATTCATATATTCATCCATGTAAGAATTTTCAAATACCACTTTGGTGTTTGCATCGTCATCCTCCTCTTCACCAGAACTATCCCCAAATGCACTAAATAATTCCTTTGAAGTCATAAATTGTTTGTTACCTCTGGTTAATGGAACAGTATCTTCACCCAAATTCGAAGCATCTGAAGTTTGTAATGAATCGTATATTTCTTTATAAATGCCTTTACCCTTTTCATCCCAAAAATGTTTTTTTGCAAAATATGCTAATCCAGCAAATATGAAAGCAAATCCCATGCCGAGAACTGCTATAATCCATGTACTTGATTGAGATGATTTATCTTTTGATGAATTTGTATTTGATGGTTCGACTTCTTCAGTCGTACTAACTTTCTTTCCATCGGAGGAAGGTTCGGGAGAAGGTGTAGGTGTAGGTTTTACAGTCGTAACTGGTTTTACAGTAACATTCTTTTGTTCACCCCATAACTTTAATCTCCAATCAATAAATGTTCCCGTATATTCTGGATTTCGAGTATCTCTAACCTGAAGAGCCCACCTACCGATTGGATTTTCATCCCTAAAAATAGATCAAAAATAAATCTTTTTTTTTTTTAAAAAAAAAAGAGGAGACTAAAACTGAAGTAACTTCAAATAATATCTACCAATGTTTAATACTCATAAAAGTCCAATTGGTTAAACCACTTCGATGTACATCATACATTCTTGGGGCTCCAAGATGTGATATTATTTCGTTTGGACTAATCAAATCAACTTGTATATCGCCTCTTCGAGTATGATTAATATTAACCGTAACTGTGACATGCTCCAAACGTCCAAGTTTAGCGTCATCAATGTCACGTTGTGTTACTTCTATACCACTTATAATACCTTCATCATTCATAGGTATTGGTTTATTTACTTTGGTGGTTGGCATTTCAAAGAAAACCTGAGGCCCAAGATTTTGAAACGTTTTAGCATTTTGAACGAGTCGATACGCATTTAGTAATCCATAACCATATTTGTGACTGAATAAACGTCCAGCAGCATTTTTGTCCCACTCAGGATCTTTCAAATTGAACGGAATGGCACTGATAAGTTGCAGATATTGCATATCGCGCCAAGTAAGGTCCGGTCTTTGCGATATATATATAAGGGAAAGAAAAAAAGAAATATTAATAAATGATTTAATTCAATATCATTGACTCGTTTGATTTGATTTGATATTTTTTTTTTTGATTTTGCTATTGCTTTTCGTTCATATTAACTTTGTTGAAAGAAAACCAAAACAAAATCCCAAATGAAATGATGTAATAATTATAAAAATTTTACCTGATTTGAAGGACAAGAGCGTATACTCCCGCCGCAATTGGGGCAGCGGCTGAAGTACCCCCGTGAAGATTGGTACAATTACCTGGTCCAACATCGGTAGTATACTAATATATTAACGATAGATGAGTATATTAAACGTACAAATAAATAATAAACAAATTCATTTATATTTATATTTATTTATATTTACAATAAAACTCCCGCTTCCACTACTTAAAGTTGTCACTAAAAGCGCGGAACATTTTTCCGCATAGTAAGGGTGTGAAAAGGTACGGTCGACCGCACCAACAGTCATTGTATATAAACTATTTGTATATCCATCATAATTGCAATTATCATCATTAGCGCCTCCGTTGCCTGAGGCGAATACGAATAAACTACCTTTACCCCCACGCCCCTCATTTATGCCTTTGAGAATAGCTTTGAAAATTAGCCCCTTGGGAGCTTCAGCCGATTGACCATCATCAGGTGGACCCCAACTACATGAATAGATGTGATTCTCTTGGAATTTATAGTTAAGTGCTTCAGCTTCATCTACATCAGAAATTTCTGCCGATAATATACGAATGCCTTATAAAATTAATTTTAAAAGTTAAAATCTCATTATTTTCAATTTGCACATTACATTCAATCAATTATTATTACCTGCAACCTTGGCATCTGGGGCAACTCCTACACCGCACACATCATTTTTTACGGCCGCAATTTCACCAGCACATCTAGTTCCATGGTTATCATCCATAAGTCGAGGTTTTGGTAACGGGGTATGGTCGTTAAAATCATAAGATCCTTCTTCAAACTACAGATCACGATCACAAAATTATATAAATAATGATAAGATTTATTTAATTAAATCAAAGAAAAAGATCAATATAATCTACATACAAAGTTCTCTTTCAAATCTTTACTATCAAAATCTAAGCCATCGTCAACTATAGCTGCTATTACCCCTTTACCAGTTATACCTTGTTGATAGTATATAATTGAATTAATACATACAATGAATCCATTAAATTAACAATTGATTTTTTTTTAAAAAAAAAAAAATCTCTACCTTCTTTCCATACTCCTGTAACATTAATATGATGATCGATCTCCAACGGATTAACCTAATATGTGAAAAGTTACAAATAAAAACAAAAAGATTAAGATACATGTATGAAATTGTTGAATGTTAAAACCGAAAAACCCACCAAATGCCATTGATATTTAAATCCTGGGTCATGAATTCCATAAGCGGCACCTATATCTTCTGTATCAACCTTACTTTTTGGTCGAGGAATTGGAGGAGGGACTCTCTTATGCCTTTTTCTCAGTTTTTGCTTTTCAACAGAAAGTATTCCGTCAATTATCTCGTGTGACCTTTTTTTTAATGAAGGATTTTGTTGCCTTTCTTCTTTTAGTGAACGAAACTTAAGTAAAACACGATCATTACTTTCGTCACTTAAATCAAAAGCCGAATCAAGAGATCGAACAACTAGGTGTGTTATTTCTTTTGAAGAACTGTACAAATGATGGTTGTCTAGCGCTCCTATTGGTCCATCGTATCTAATTTCAAGTAATTCGGACACTTCTCTAGGTAAAATTCGTGAATCATCTTTAAGCTCTATAGCATAATAATAGTTGTTATTATAATCTCGCTTCCTTGGTCCATTGTTACTTTCTGTAGTTGCCTCAAAATTGTCAAATAATAATATGAAAATGGTTATAAATAATAATGATCCAAGGAATGTTTTTACTGGCAATATTGCCATGATTTATTTTATTTTTATATTTTTTTAAAAAGAATAAATATATAATTAAAGTTTGTTAGAATAAATTTTTTTAACCGCTCTGTATTTTTTTTTTTTAATAAAACCGTGTCGAAATATCATTGATTGGTTGTCTTTATTGAATTTTTATGTACAATTTGAATCAGCCACAAGGCGAAATTTCCGGTTGACCCCAAGTTATTCGGGAGTCCTACCTCTATTGCAGATAAAATAATATATATTTGGAGAGGTCATTTTGGCTGATTTTTACTATGAAAATATATTGAGAAAGCGATCCTCCGCGAAACAAATTGTTGTTGATCATAAATAGTTGGTTTTCAGATTCATTCAAATTGAGGCAAAATGATCCGAGTTTTTGGATCGATCACTTTCAAATTTGTTTGGGACGAAACAGATCATAATTAATTAAAATATAAAATAATAATTGATTTTTGAGAAAGCTTTTGAATATAATAGGATCGTTCTTTAGAAAGTTAATTCATCATCTGTTAATAACAATTTATGGTTACTTAAATGATGATGATAATGATGAAATATATTAGAAAAATCAAGCATGCTAATTAAATTTCTAAATTTGTTATATTATAATTTAAAAAATGATCTACACTAATCTAAAAGTTTATATACAGTCAACTCTTGTTATAACGAACTCTATGTCCTAGACCTCAACTTCGCTATAAGGCTATAGTGAAGATTTTAAGAGATTTTATTGGCCAATTCGCTATAACAAGAGTATTTTTGTTATATTTGTTCAAAAAATTCGTTATATCAAGAGTTCGCTATATCAAGAGTTGACTGTATATTTTAATCATATTTTATAATAATATTATGATAAAGTATTAATATTTTAAATTTATAAATATATCATATGTTTAAAATTAACAAATACCTCTTTTTATAAGCATTAAATATAGGGTTTTGAAATTTTCAAATTCTTATAGACTTTAAATAAAAATTTGAAACGTTACTTAATTTTGATATTTTTTAAATAAAATTTTTAAATTTATTTAATTTTTTATTTTAAAATACTATTTTACAAAAAATTCTTATTTATAAATTTTTGTTTTAAAGTATTTTAATAATTATATACTATTATAAATTTTATACAAATTTTATAGTTTTCAAAGATTTGATTTTAAATATTTTAAATTATTATGTTAAAAATTATTAAATATTAATATTATAACAGAACTGTCGTAACTTAATTGATCTATATAATGCATTTACCTAAGTGACACAGTTAATATGATCGACTTAATAGATATATTTAATTTATGTAATGTAAGAAAGTGTAGATCAAAATGTCAAACATATCAGACATATTTGATATATCTGATATAATGGATATACTGGATATTAGATATATTTGATATATCTAATATAATGGATATATAAAATATATTTGATTTATTTTAAAATGTATATAAAGGT